AAAGCATAGGAACGAGGAGACCAATAAAAAGTTGGCAACCCTGTCTCCATGAACTGTATTTTGCAGTTCATCCCTTCCACTTTGCCTTGTGCAGAAATGGTGGTGCGTGGTGTTTTGTGCTCTTTGTTCCATTCTTTGCATTTATACTGTGCCAAGGTGGGTATTCCCAAGTACGGTGCCTTGCAGCAAGAGTGTGCTTGGGATACTCTTTCCAAAAAGAACACTTGCTCTTCCATCATTTCCGCTCAGAAGGAAGCAAGTAGTTACACTCTGACCCAAAGAGGCCTGCCTTGGGATTTTTGAGGCTACTTACAGAAACTTCCTATGGGAACCCTTTGCATTTGTCTTTGTTACTCTGAGATCTTGACTTTTCTTCAGTGAGTTCACAGGGACATAAATGGCTGTCCTCTGCCCAACTTTATCCTGGATTATAAAATAGATTTAACACAGAAACATTCTTCTTCCACAAGGATATTTTAAAAAAATAAAAGCCCACTGTGCCGTGTAAGGAAGTACTTTTTTTCTGTCCTGAGCATTCCTGTTTGTTGGATGACCCTGAGTTTTGATATTGTGAAAGATAACATCTCTTTTTATCCACTTTCTGCTCCTTATATGTAATTTTATAAACATCTATCGCCTCATCCTTGGCTCTGTTCTAAATCAGTGGTTCTTAACCTTTTTCAAGTCCTGATCCCCTTTTACAATAATAGCCAAGTAACCTGCAGCCCTCCTACCATATTTGCATAAAAAGCCATTTTAATTGGGCAAAGTACCATTCATCATTTCTTAGAAAGCAGAGATTCTTTTTCCCCCCCAAAAGGCCTCTTTCTCATACATACACATACACCCTTACTTTAATATCCTGCTCCGAAAGGTCAAGGAAGTAATTATTTGACGAAGGCCACAACACATATAAGGTGACCCATGATGCACACCCCTGAAAACACTTTGTTACCCCCCTTGGCGGTCACAACCCCCCAGGTTGAGAAATACTGGTCTAAACCACTGGTTCTTAACCTTGGGTTACTCAGGAGTTTTGGGCTGCAACTCGCAGAAGCCTTCACCACCAACTGCTGGCTGGGGTTTCTGGAACCCCCTTGGCGGTCACAACCCCCAGGTTGAGAAACACTGGTCTAAACCAAACAGCACTCTGCCCATTGCAGGGCAATGTAAAACCGACAGGGCAGCTTGCCTCTTGTAGTAAATGCTACAGCAAACCAGCCCTGATGTGCTGGATAAACACTGGGCAACACTTTCCCAAAAGTTGTAATGGAGAGTGCTTTCCCCCCCGCCCTGTGCCCCAAACAGAACAAGAATAACAGCAGCAGTTCTCCCTTTTACCTTGGATCTGTTTTCTACTGATAGAGGCACATACTGAACTCAGCAAGCTCTCTGGCTTTCTGTGATTATTTATGGAGCTTGCAAATGCTATTTTTTGGACTACAGCACCCAGAATTCCCCTGCCCTCATGCTGCCTGAGGAATTCTAGGAGTTGTAGTAATCCACCAACCTCAGCTCTGATTATTCAATAATCAATTATTTCAAACAGACACTATACTTTGTCAACATAAGCTTGAAGTTGTTGGACTTCCCTTTACAACATCCTACAGGCAGAATCAAGTGCTAGAAAATTAGCTTCATTACGCATATTGTTTGGTTTCAGCAGTGAAGTACTCTTTTTCACAAAAAAGCAGTTTAGATCGAAATAGTACTAATTTGCCCTAGGTTCATTTTGCTTGTTTGTTTTTTTAATGTGTGAATGAATGAACAGAGTCATTGCGTCACACTGTCTACCCTAGCTATCCCGAAACAAGATTTTACCTCACTTAAAGCACTAACTAGTAGAGTGTCGAGGTTGAATTGATTAATTGGTGAGATTAATGAACTAAAGCTTTAATCATAGATTAAAATTTGATCCCTTTTTGGGAGTTGGCAGCAAGTGAAGACTGCGTGATTTAGGATTTGAAAGATTTGCTGCCATCGGTAGAGTGCCTTTTCGGTTACAACAGATGGGATGGAAAAAGAAGCCTAAAGAAAAACAGGCCGCAGTTCCATTCAGTTTATATTTAAAGCTAGAGGATAATTTCCCTTCGGAAGGACACCAGTTAATTGAAACCTTTGGAGCTGTATCTTTTATATCTAGAGTTTCTCTTAGAAAGACATGAAGCTTGTTTACTTTAAAAATATGAATATATGCTAGCAGAGAGGATGCCATAAGCACAGAATGAAGAAAAACAGGTTTACTGTATTTTCTAACAAGCAGTGACAATTGTATTGGCTAGTATCTTGTTATGCAGCTCTGTCTGCACAGTGGGAATGACATCACCAACCCTAGCAATATGCTGCTAATTAAAGAGTTATATTTTAGATTTTAGGATACACAAGACCTCCTTTTTTGCACACAAGTCCAAAATCAAAAAAGGAAGCCTTTAATTAGTGATGTCACTTCTGTCACGCAGGTGGAGGGATGCCATAGGATACAGGTTGTAAAGTGACATGGGTGGACCTGCATGTAAGGAAGAAGGTCACCGGAGAGGCAAGGAGGGGCAGCGCTAAGGCCATGAGCTGCAAGTGGCAGCAGTGCTGCTGTAAAATAATGGATCCTGGAACTGTGACGTGGCTGCAGGTCTCTACACAGTGACACTGAAGTTAGAGGAATGTCTGTACGTGTAGCTCCAGTGTGATCAGTCCTGCTTCTGGAATGTTTAATTGCATGGGCCTCAGTACTGAGACACAGTTGCTTGTGAGAGAGATCTTAGTGCAACTGGAGTGGGCCTGTTACTAGTGGAAATAATCTTTCATATTTGTAATATTTTAAGTTCGATACAGAAAAGTTTCTTATTGCTGCTAAGGGAAACTGATCATAAGGTCTTTTATAACGTAGTCCATTTTGATCTCTGAGTGAAGATTGGAGAGAGCTTTATGGAGACCCATTTATGGTAAGAGCTAATGCACTTTAGTTGCAATCAGGTGGAATATTTCAATAATTTTCTCTTAATGGAACTTCAGCTGATGTCAGTCCTCTTGGGCTTTTTACCATTTTTTTGCTGGGCAAACTATATTGTAGGGCTATGGATAGCAGACATTCTTACATAAGAACGAGCATTTTTACATTGTAACAGTACTTCTGTTTAAAAATTACATACTTAAATTAAAAATACTTTAATCTATTAAAAGTATGTGATACAAATTTTGTTTAATTCTTATATATTTTACTATCCACTTTGGCATTTGTATTGCCATATTGCAGTGGCCTAGAGTCACAATGAACAACACTGGCTGCCCTTCTTCTCTGTTCAGTCTATTTCCCAGGGACATACCGTAGCTTAACCAGAAGTATGAGAGAAATAATAACGGAAAAGATGAAGAAGAGAGAAACTGGTGCTTTTGAGGCCAGGGAAAAGAAAATACAGTGGTGCAGGACATTTCTCTTATGTGCTGTTCTTTTTCACACTTTGTGGGGTTCTTATGTAAAAGAAGGGAAAAAATACAGATCATTGTGCAGTAAATAGGAATACAGTATGGTTTTATCAGAATCTTTGGGGATGCATATGGAGATGTTTCCTGCAACTTCTATCACATCTTAACAGAGCTGAGTTTAGTTCAGATGATCTTGGTGCTTCAGATGGGTGTGTCAGAGTGACATGTTGCCATTGTTTTATCTACAGGCACTTAGGGACAGGAAGCAAACACAGAAATCCTGCTCTCAAATGTTCTTTCTGCACAGCAAGTGGCAGTGCAATTTTCCCTCCTCTGCACATAGTCTTTCCTCTAGGAAGGAAGGAAGGAAGGAAGACAGAGAACAGACAGACAGCTGCCTTACTTGGAGTGTGTTCGCGTAATGCTGCGTTTATCACTTTTCTTACTGTTTGATTTTGAAGAAAGAGTGGAAGATAAGCTTCTTCAAACAAACAAAGAAATAAACAACCACACACTAGCTCAGTGAGAGAGGTTAGTCTGAAATATCTTGACATCTTCATGGTATTTCATTGCTGGACAGGTGACCTTCACAGGTAACATGGATAGAATCAATTGTTCTGTAGTAATTCATTCCAGTTCCGTTACTGACATATGTCAACAAAATGGAATAACTTTCGTAAGGGGATGACACTTCACAAACTCCATTTTGGATGCACAGTTTTTGGATTTTGATTTGAGGCAAATGCGAGTGAGTTGTACACTTAGCATTTTCGTTGCCATTTCTGCAACCAGATCAGAAAAGGATGGAAACTTACGAAGCTTGGGTATGTAAGTAGTGTATACTGTATTGCCATATTTGGGGATCTGCCCTGATTGGTTTTGTTTTGCTATCACCAATCATCAAAAAAGCTCATTGCACATTTCCCAGTTTGGAATGCTTTAAAAGCAGATGACTAGCAATGGTTTTGGGACAGGTGCAGACCACCGGGCCACAGTGGGTCCAGTCCCACTATCTTCAGCTCCCGGTAAAGTTCCAGGGTGCTGTCGCTGCTTCACTTTTCGTATTTTGTTTTTGCCTGCTTGTCTGTGCCAGGCTGTTGTCTGGCAATCCTTTAGGCTCAGGGCAACCATTATCTAGTGGGACAGGAAAGCCAGTAACTTAGTAGATAATACAGGAGCCTTGCATAAACCTTCTGAGCCAGTGTAGTAGACAGAGGAGGGGTGTGTGTGAGTGAATGAGAGAGAGAGAGAGAGAGAGCCTGTTAGTTTAAGCCTAACCTCATTTTTTAATCTTAATCTTCTTGAATAACTGGGAATTTCACAGTTCACTGATCCTTGGAGAACTGCTCAGCAAATAGCCTGGCCTGAATACACAGAGCAGGGCACTTGCCTGGCACTAAAATACACCCAAAAGCCAGCACAGAGGGCCCCTCTCCACCCCAGCCCACTCAGGCATGTCCTGGCTGCTGCAATTATTTTCAAACTGTGCCACCACCCCCACCACCACCCCCAGGATGGAACAGAGATGGATTGTCAGAGAGCCCACAAATCACACCACTGTTTAATTGCTGTCAGCACTCCAAGGCTGCAACAGCTAAGTAATGCTTCTTAGGGGCGCAAGTCATGCTGAACCTAAGTGGGGATTCCTTATGCACAAACAAGTTTAGGAGGGTGATGCAAGAAGCTTAAAAGCTGCTCTGAGATCCACGGAGAAAGGAGAGGAGGAAATAAACGGAACACAGAAAAGCAAGGTTGGTGAATGTGGCCGGTGTGTATCCAGAGCTCGTGTTCTCTGATCCACAGGAAGCAGTCCGTCTTCTGCAAGGTCTGTTTCAGCAGTGTGACTAAAATAGGGCACACCGTTGCTTTGAACAGGGATCCAAAATGGGGCTCAATGATCATATCATTTTGCCAGTGACTGAGAGGTTCTGCTAAACCAGAATGGCTTGTTGTGCTCTGTTGCTTTTTAATGTGTTTTTAGTGTTGATTTTATTTACCATTTTAATGTAATACTTGTTTAATTAATTTTTATATTGGTATCCTTATTATTTTTAGCTTTTAAATATTGTCTTTTTAATGATATAAGCTACCTTGGATTCCTTTAAGGAGAAATGTGGGATAAAAATATTTCTTTAAGGAGTAATGTGGGATAAAAATATTTTAAATAAATAAACCATGTAAGGTTTTCTTTTCAGTGTGGAATAATTAAGCTATATTGCAAGTTGAAGATGAAGAGCCCAACGACTTTCCTATTCGACGGCTTAGTGAGGGCAGGAGATCAGGCAGAGTGGTTCCCTCGTAATACCTCATTAGTTCTTATTGCACTGCATCAGGTTTGGGAGGTGAAGACATTGTATTTTCACAATTAAGTGGCAGATTCGTCCAAGAACCAATTGGGAGTAGATGTGGGATGTAGCCTGGGAGGCAACTGGCATGAAGAAACTGACTTATTTCTCTTTTTGTTTCCTCTTCTCCTGCAGCATCTTCACCTTGAATGATGGTAAGTCCAACCCTTCCTTGGTTCTCTTACCTTACTATCTTATCCAGCCATCCTTCAGACAAAAAGCCTATTCCAGAGAAAGACAAAACAGTATTTTGCTGCCCTTAATAGCTGCTACTATACAATTCTTGGAGACTTTAGTATAATATAAAACATCCTCCAACAACCCAGTGCCTTTTCAGGTACCTCAGACGACAAATGTTGTTTTGACTTATGTACTACCCAGATAGAAGGCTGGCACTCTCTGAGCAGTTTACACCATAATTGTGAAATGAACACTTTGTCCCCCAGCCAGCTGGGTACTTATTTTACAGACCTTGGAAAGATAGAAGGCTGAGTCAGGCTGCAAGCAGAGGCTTGACTGCAGTACTGCAGTTTAACCACAGCACCATAGGGTTAATTAATTCCATCATCCTCAGCCCAGCATGCTCTGTGGCAACAAGGAGTTGTAACAAAAATGAGGAAACCTTATATAAATAATATTGGAAAACAATTAACATTGTAGTCCCCTAAGGCATTTGCCTTACTTTAATGGGACATGATTCAGAGAACTTTTGAATAAACATGTATAAGACTGTACTGTCAGAATCATGGAATTTGGGCAGTTCTGTTAATGTAATGAGGCCCCTTCTCCAGGCGCTGCTCCTTTACTGCCTTCCACTTAACAGGTACTATTGAAGTTCTTGTATAGAACAGGTTGTTCCGCAGACACTCATTGTCCATGTTGTCTCAAGAAGCTGCCTCTGCAGAGAGAGGTTCAGAGGACCAGCTGATCAGCTGTGGCTTTTAGCAGCTTCATCTACTGCTTTTGCCTTCTCATCTGCCCTTCTCCTTGGTCGTATCTGGAATACTTTCCTCTGCTATGCCCTGAGCCCCACCATCCCTCCTGGTTTCACATCCTGGTTTTCCAGCACTAAATGACCATAGAATTCTTGCAGAGAACTCTGTTGTCCACTGCCTTCTGCCTACCCCATAGGTTCTCTGCCACTGGTCCTGGGCACGCTATCAATCACTGTTACATAAAATACATAAACAGGGATAATAAAAAGAGTGGCTCTCAAACACTTGCAGGATTTATTAGGAAATATGTACTGTAATTGACTGTGTCTCAGCATTTTGAAGGGTTTTTTTAAAGCAAAGTGGTTTCTTCTAATTATTTTACAAAGCACAAACATGGAAGTGTAATTTGTAATTGGTATGGACATGACCAGACTTTGGCTAGTATCACTATTTTGTCTACCTGGAAATCCTCTAGTTTTCGATCAAATGTGGGGACTCTCTTTTCGTTTGGTCTCAGGCGAACACCTGGGTCTCCCCTGGCATGTTACGTGTGAATGTAACCCAAAGTAGTAAGAACATCCTTTCTCTCACACACACAGAGTTCTCTCTCTTTTGTGCATATGCTCACATTATTCATCTATATGCATGCTCACATACATACATACAGACACACACACAGCAGCAGAGAAGGACAATCTAGGCTTTCAAATATGTGGAATGTTCAGCCACAACTGCTTCAAGGAGACCTGAAGCCTTGCCACTCAAGGGAGTCAGCTCTGTATACCTCTTGGCCTTTCCCATTTACCATCACCGTTGCACCCAGAACGTAATGGATTTTGGCTGATTTCAGAAGGTCAGGCCTAATGAAACACATGGAAGGGAGACCACCACAGAAGACAGCTAGGAAACAGTCCTGCTAAAACTCTGCAGAGTCACTGTCAGTGAGACTTGACAATACCAGCCTAGGTATTGTCAATTTGCATGAGGGAGTTTCCTGTGTCTTCAAGGTAAGGGATGTGCAGAACCTCTAGGAGCTGCGCCGTCAAGGTTATGTGGTGTCCAGATTCTTCAGTCTCCTCTTATGCTTAACCAGCCTGCCCCCAACTGTTGACTAACGACCTTTAAAATCCTTTCCAACACCACAGTTTTAAAATTTAGGAATTGCCTGTTTCCCCCATTCATCTCGTGGGATCTGTGTTGCAGCAAAAATTTCCCTAACTCTTTTCTGGGCATGCTCCTCATTCCTTTGCTTTTCTCTTTCTACAGCTGTCTTTGGAGCAGATCCACACCGAGCCAGCCCCGACACCTAAGGAACTGGACTGGGCAGAACAGGGGTACCTGAGCCCTCTGCGCTGTTCCTGGCGCCGGGATGTGCCCTTGGACTGCAAAATCAGCCCAGAGGATGCCCAGGCCCGGGCTTGGACAGCCTACTACTATGACCTCTTGCAGAGTACTTTGCAACAGGAAGGGCTCCCAGAGACTATTGACCTCACCAAGGAACCACGGACAGGTGGGGATTTCTTGGGTCTCTGAAAGCCCCTATGGCTTGCATGCAGATCCCGTCTTCAAAACCTTTCAGGACATTCACTTCAACATGGTGGTTGCTCATTATTGGCCTACAAGTTTAAATGCTATTAAGGTATTCCCGTCGAGAAAGATTTTATTGCCCAAAATATGCAAATAATGTAAACATGTATTTGGAACAAAATATTTATTTCCACATACCTCTTGCAAGAGCAGTTCCAGAAAAACTGTTTAGTTAGAGCAAACAGAAGCAAGGACTTTGGTGTACATCTTAAAAACAAACCTCTTGTGACTGAAGGTTTGGAGTGAGAGGACTGGTAGCAGGAAACATTTCTGGAGAGGAAGGGAACCTGTTATCCCATGGCCTAACTCCTGTCCTGCAGCCTTCTTTTTTGTGTGTAATTTTGGTGGCATTACTTCTTGTTGTAATTTTGTGGAATGGCCAGTGTATTCAAGAAAGAACTTTGTGAATTTTATCTCAGTGGCAACCCACACCTTTGTTCTGGAGAAGGAGGTTGAGGTGTGGGTTCCAGAACTGGATACAGCATAGAGGCTTAGGAGCCACAAATCTGGAAGTCTCCGGTTCTAATCTTCTCATTGCCTTGGATTAATAAGGGGGGCTTGCCATTAGCCCCCTTCCCCAGCGCAAACTGTGCATTCTCTTTCCTCATATGATTAAAATAATATCCAGGAGAACAGGGCAGGGAGGTGCTGGACATAATTTACTCTTTGTTTTGAGCCGTCCATGAGTGGAGAGATGAACATTTGAAGTGGGAAGTTCCTTCTACTGAGTGGAGTTACTTATACAGCCTAAAACCTGTGTTATGCAAGATTTTACTCTTAAAATACTATTTAGAAGGGATTCAGAGAAACATCTAAAGTGGTGTTTTTGAAATATTTATATATGTATTATTAATTTGTTTTAGTTATATCTCATCTTCCCTCTAATGCCCTCATGGTTGTCCTTCTCTCCATTATGGGTCAAGATGAGTAAATGTAACTGGCCAACAGTTAGTTACCCAGGGAGCTTTTATGGTGTCAAATCTTTATCCAGCTCCTTTAGACCATGCTACCACCAAGAGTTTAAAGGGGGAAATATGAAGTCCATTCATATAAATGTACTGAGAAAAAGCCACCTCCTGGATTACTCTCACACTTAAAGGAAAACATAGGAGATGATGGCGAGCTTTACTTTTCTTATTAGTCTGGGATATGTCGGAGCATTGGTGATTCTGATTCCCAAGCCAAAAAATACCTCACCTCATGGTGACATTTCTTCATAGGAATCCCATCAGCAGAAGGATGCTGAAATATATGGGCTGTGGCTCAGAGGGCAGAATCAACTGTACAGTGGTGCCTCGCTTAGCGAGCGCACTGTAGAACGACGAATCCATATAGCGAGGACGTTTTCGCAATCGCTAATGCGCTCGCAAAGCGATGGCCTCTATGGCCAAAAATTGCATAGCGAAGGTCGGTAAGCGGTTCGCTTACTGACCTTCGCTTTGCGACCCGCGGATCAGCTGTTCGGCGGCTCCAAAATGGCCGCCGGAAGCCCCGAAATGGCCGCGCGCAGCGTTTTCGTGCCCTCGCTAAGTGAGGGGAGGGCGCGAAAATGGCTGCCGGCCATAGGGAAGCATCGCTCAACGGTGAGTTTCGGGGCCCATTGGAACGCATTAAACCAAGTTTAATGCGTTTCAATGGGTTTTTTCGTTTCATTGAGCGATGTTTCCCATAGCGAGGGTTAATCCGGAACGGATTAACCTCGCAATGCGGGGCACCACTGTAGTAGGTTTTTGTACAAGCTTGATTGAAGAGTTCATAGAGCAAAGGAGTCCCAAATGCAATCTAAGGTAGAAGCCACACTGATTCTATTCTTGTCTCTTTTTTTAGGATTTGGTCCATCTGATGTAACCATCTGTGTTTTGGGCTCCCCCACTTCATATTTGTCTGTCCTTCTGGAAGGCGGCAACCAGTGTCCTGGTGAGTTGGTATTGTTCTAAAGTCAAGGCCAGTAAGGCTTCAGTCAGCCCGCTTTGCTTTGGCCCAGGATATCCTTTACATCTGTGCAGATCTGGTGAAGAAAAATAGGAGGACTACGTCCCACCCGAGAGGCAGCATAGCTTTGTCTCCCAGTGGGGCCGTTTGCAAGGAAGGAATGCCTTGGTTTACTTTTTTCCTCCTTTAGAAGAGACGTAGAGCGATGCCTTCTCTCTAGACTATGCAGACCAAGAAAGCAGGAGCCCTGGTAGGTGGGAGGGACACCAGCAGTTGTCAGGGAGGTATCAACCTGCTCAGGAAGACACCACATTCCCCATTTTTGTCCTAAACAATTCCACATTCAGGTTTAACCACCGGCAAGTTCCACTGGAGGCAACTGAAGTTAGAATCTTAGAAGTGCAGAGCTGGAAGGGATCCTATGGATCATTGAGTCCAACCCCTGTCAAGGAGGCACACAGTGGGGGACAGAACTCCCACCCCCTAGATCCACAGCCAGTAGTTGGTATTGCTGAGTATTCTCCCCCCCCCTCGCCTGCTCCCAGCACCAAGAAATAGTTAACTGGCTAGATTTTTTTAAGCCAATTGTTCTGGTGGCCAGACATATAAAATAAATTAGATCTTTGCCACGTGTCAGCCAATTTGGACTTAAGTCACGGGAACCTCGGATTTATATAAGGACGGGTGCGATCACATAGGGAAATAGATCACAATTTTGGATCATTTACTTATATTTATTTATTTATTTATTGAATTTATACCTCGCCCATTTAGTCAACTGACTACTCTGGGCGGCTAAGTTTTTAGAGTGACCTGGGTCATTCGGTTTCCAGGTGATCACGCAGTGCCTGGAGAAATACACTCCAGCCCAACTTGGATCTGTGGTCAAGCCTGACCATGGTAGGGCTTCTGCTAGTGGGAGGGGGGGGGGAAGGTAGGCTGGAGCAATTCCCCAACAGATGGAAGGGTTTCTTTAGAAGAGGTCACTTCCATTCAAGTGACACTTTTCAGGATGATCAGATGTATGCCTTTGAAGCCATCTGATCTCACCCTGAGTTAACTACTTGTGTTATTTTTCTATTTCCATGTACATGATAAGAGGCTTACGCATTCTAAGTCTGGTGCCTGAAATTCGTTCAGTATATTCAGTAGGGCTGCAGCTTTTTTCTGGACGGAGATATCTCGCCATGCATGTTTCCTGTGGACCCTCTTGGGCAGCTGCTATTCCTGGCATTCCTACTGTCTCTTCTCAGAGAGGCTGAGACAAGGTTGGCAGTAACCAGAGCTCTTGTGGCAGCTGAACTGCTCAGATTTCCCTCTGGCTCAGGTTCATATGGGAGCACAAGGCTGGAATAAACCAGAAGGTCAACTCTCCAGCCTCTCCCCTCCAAGGAACAATCCCTCCTACCCATCAGCTTTGCTTCAGGACTCCAAATCCTTTGTTGGAACTAGGGAATGTTTCTGCCAGCAGTTCTTCTGAGATTCTAGGAGTTGGTCTGTAGTAGACGTTTGAAATTAGACATACACACTAACTGCCAGAGTTTCGGTGGTCATATACGACTCAAGTGTTGATTGTTAAGAGTTAGCAACATGTCTGAATGCTTGTGTTTCCTCAAAATAATGGCCGGAAACTTCTGTTCAGAAGGGCTCCCTTGCTATTCTTAAAGCAGCGAAACCCTGCTTGAAACACAGGAATTCAGCCTATGTTTCATTCACATAGTACTTCTACACCAGGCTTTTGATCCTACTTCATTCACAGAATGTTATAGAGGATGGATTCTGAACAGTTCTGTCTTCCATTTGTCATTCTTCTGTACTCTTGCATCATCATCTTAAGCTTTTTTCCTCACACAGACCATCTGTCAAGGACAGAAAACTGGAATCGCTGCATAATAATTTTTCACTGGCAATGCAAAGAGCCCTCTGTTATCAGTGTCCACAACTGAGAGGCCCATGTTTATATGTTGTCATTTTGAATTGGGGTTCTTCTTTTGTGCCCTACGTACTTAAAAGATAAACTCTGTGTAGTTAGGCAAGCCAGGGAGTTCTGGCACCCAACAAAAATAAAATGGATATAGAGCAGGGCTTAGAACAAATGCACCCACCCACTCACCTCCTTGTTCTGAAAGTACTGCTTTCTAGCCATAATGGCCCAAATACTCTTTTCATAGCTATGCAAATGTTGTAATTGTTGGAGGCAAATTGACCCAAGTTAAGAAATCACTGTAGACATTGTCCATTGCTCACAGAGTCATACAAATCAGTACACAACTGATAATGTCTACGGTGGTTTCTTGGTGCAGTTCACTTCCAGAAATGATGGTTTGTGCTATGCCAGTGTAACTAAGCAAAAAGATTTGACCCATTGCTCAACCCAGTATGTGAGCATTTTTAGAATCAATCGTATTCAGCTCTTTCTCCATTAATATATATGAGTGTCTTCTTCAGCCTCATAAAATGTAATCCTATACCTGCAAAGAACAGATATAACAATTTCTGGGGTACAGAGAAACTGTCAGTGGTGTCTAAATAACACAAAACGTTTCGGTTGAAAGGTTTTTGACCGTGGATTGTTTCTTCTCAATGCACCCTCTGTAGCTACAAGCTGATAAGAGCCCATACTTCCCCTTCCCTCCCTTCTCTTCCCTTCCTCCATGTGTTTAGAATAGGTAAGGGCCCTAGACCCTTCAGGTGCACGTGGACACCAGTGGCCATCATTCCTGTTCAAGTTGCCCAACAGCTGAGATGGTAGGAACTATCCTCCAAAAACATTGGGAGGGTTATACTTGCTCTAGTGCCTGTAACTCAGCATTGCCCCTTCAGTGGCTATAGGTCAGCATATTCTTATCACAAAAGTTACAAGAATTGCACCACCTTTGTTTGCTTGAAATCTTCTCTTAGTCTATAAGAAAGAATTACAATTATGTAGGTTGGAACAGGAGCAAAAGGTAGCCTTCCTTGCTTTGAGCAGTGAGTGCCAGCTCACATAAAGATGAAAATGAAACTCTTTAAGTAGAAGCACCACCCTCCACAGGTTTCCAAGAAAAAAAATTACAGCAGTCCCTTGCCATTTTGTGAACTGTTTTGGCGCTCTTCATTTCCTTGGCTTGTTTTAGTTTTGTCTCAAATTGTATGGCAAACATATTTATACAGTAATCGTAATCACTACCAGATCTCTGCAGCTATGTAAAAAGGAGTGGAATTCATGCAACCAGGCTGCGGTAAGGAAGGGGGGGGGGACCAAAAATCAAGAAGCAGAACTATGAACATAAATTGTCAAGATGTTCAAGGACATGTGCATATAGATACATATAGGTACAGATATAAAGATAGATTTTTAAACCATTGTATGCCACTTGTTATTTTACAAAACTCCTCAACGTGCATTAACAACAAGCTGTGTATTGGTTTTGTCAGCTAATGTCCTTTCAGCTGAAGACTTTGTGTAAAAATGCATTCTCTGTCCTGGGCAACTTTTCAGGTAGATTTGTTTTGTTTTTGTTGCCCTAAGAACTTGATATGACATGACTGTTGTCAGATCCAGGACTTGTGATGCACCTAAAATGCATCAGAGGGCAATGGTTGACTGGTTTTCTCTATAACCTTCTTGATAATCTCCCACCCAAACCATGAGCAGCTCAGTTTTCCCAGCACCACACAACCAATTCCAGGACTAATCACTTCTACTGCACCAAACCTGTAAATGCTGAGGAAGTGCTAATGACGTCATAATGAATGCTTCTTTTTTCCCCAGTGTCACTCCATTCAGTGGTGTCATGTAGGAAAATATGGCAGAGTAACATTTTCCAGAGAACAAGAATAGGTCAGGCGGGGGGGCGGCAGCGGCAGGGCCATCTGGCCCAGGCCTGTCCTCATAGCGAGGGGAGGAGGGGTTCACCTCAAGCATGGCTGTGCTCTTAACCACTTTAACCCTGTTTGGGGGTGTCCCTTGACTTGAGTGAAATTTAGAACTTCTAACTGTCTGTTTTGATTCTTGATTAAAGCCCAAACAAGTAAGAGGCCTCACAAGGGAAAATGGCCCAGACCTCACATGAGCTCTCGGGGAGCCTGTATGCCTCCCTGCCTTGCTGGCTCCAGCACTGTTGTCCAGGCAGACAATCAGGGAATGGGTGGCGCTGACAGGATGCAAGGCCCCAGGTCTCCCTGCTGCTGCTCACTCTAACACTGTGTGTGATCCTTGGCCTGACAAATTCTAGCAACCCAAGCCCTTGCCCAGGAGGTTCTTTTCCACTGGGGGGGGGAGCGGGCTTTTTTATATTGTTGGACTTATCCGATACACACTCACAAGCTAGATTTCCCCTCTTCCTCCTTTCCAGGTAACATGCTACTGTGTCTTTCGCCAGCCTGGCTGTCCAAGGTGCCATCGGAATCGCACCCAGGAGAGTCGTCCTTGCTGGTCTTCAAGGCTGTGACGTTTGACCTTGGTGGCCGCACAACCCTGGATGAGTTTGTGCCTCCACGCCGTGTCACCTACTTCACAGGCTGCTTTGGGCCATGCAAGGCCCAGGGCCAGTCAGCAGCAGAGCTGGCCCGAGACCTCGACTGCCCCACCGGTGGCTCAGGAGAGCTGGCTCGCCTACTGGAGGACAAGCTCCTGACCCGCCAGCTCATGGACCAGCAGGCAGAGGTGGCCGTGCCCCCCACCCTGGCCTTCACCTTCAAGCGCCCACTGCCCCTGAGAAGCGTGACAGAGGAGCAGCACGTTCGCATGGTAGAGCTCAGTGGCCGTGAGGGGCAAGACAACCTGTTGCAGGAGGAAATCGCAGCGTTCTTGCAAGGTGGTGCCATGGAACTTTACCGCCAGGTGAGAAACCCTGACCGTGAAAAGTGGGAGTGCAAGGCAGGTGGTGATAAGAGTGTGGCAGCTAAATATGCAGGCTGTAGATCTTTCAAGGAAGAAACATCCTGTGGAAGGTAACTGCCCACAACTTGGCCCTTTCTCTGCTGTGCTTTCAACAGGTGGTGGTGAAACCATCAGGCTGGCGCTGGAATGGAGCCCAGGCTGTGTCATTCCATGCTAAGTCAGAACAAGGATGTATCCTGCAAGCTGTCCTAACACTGCTGGAGACCTTGGAGGAGGAGGAGAGCATCTTGGTGGAGGCTTTCATTCCCACGGCTCACGTGATCCGACCTGGCCCTTCTGACACCGATGGCTCTCCATGTAAGGAACTGTTTTAGTCAAGCCCTACAATAAACTAGTCCCTAGTTCCATGCCCAGGCTTAGGATAACAGTTTTCTCCAGAAGTCCTTTCTTCTCATTGCGCTGCTTCGTCCCACTGCATCTCTTTGAACACTGTTAGCTTTGGCCATTCAAGAGAGAGGTGCTTCACATTGGCAGTAGGTGGAATGGGAGAAGATGGACAGCCTCGGGCAGGATACCATACTGGAAGGCTGGAATCCTGCCCAGCAATTTTGCATTGCTTGTTCTGCTCCAGCCCAAAATATCTCTTCTATTCTCGCTTGCATGTATCTTATTTTCATTGCCCCATAGCCCACAAGAATACATTCGCTTCTCTGATCTATGCTTTCTTTTCCCTTTTGGACTCCTTGTCCTATGTCTCTAGTTCCAGGCAACACATCTCCACAGCCCGATCTGGCAGTACGAATATGCACTGTTGTCTGTAGATCCCGAAAAGACCAGCCTCTGCTAAGCAAGGTAAAAGGAAAGAAAGGAAAGGAAAGGAAAGGAAGGAAGGAAAATAAAAGTTCTGAGCTATTTTGGAAATTAACAATGGGAGAGACTAGGCCACTATCATCAATAGAAAACCCATAGCACTTTCAGACAGGTCAATGTATGGAAATACAGTTTTTTCTTCCCATTTTGAATTGTCTGGACAAATTCTGGCTGGCGCTTGCTTATAGATTAAAGTGGTTTTGCAGTTCTAAAATTATTCCTTGTATGGAACTGGTTATATCCTCAGTTGCCAGACTCATAATCTGTAACCACCTCCTGGGTATGTATCTGTAACCTGGTTAGAACTGGAAATCATTCTGTATTCTCTTTTCTTCTCTTGGATCCAGACTTAGCAGACCCACTGAAATCAATCAGCCTTATGCTGGTCATGACCAAAGTGTCCGATTATTATTATTTTTAGCTCTCCAGGGGTGGAAAAACATTTTCAGCCTTACAAGCCAAATTTCTGTGTGGGAAGGGGCTTGAGCAAAGTCAGAATGAAAGCAGGCAATGGCCAAAGAAAAGTGGGTAGGAGCAGCTGTAATTCTTATCAATATGGATAAGCATGCAAAATATAGCTCAATTTTCTCCATGTCTATTCTGGAGTAATTCACAAATCACAACTGAAATTGCATGCCACAGCATTTCTGCTTGCAAACTAGGGCTCGGGTCTATGGAGGGTATTTAATGTTACCCCTTTATCTCTGATTGCTGATCAGATGCAAGATCAGAAGCACTTTTCAGCAGACAAGGACAGAGCTGCATAGCACCGGCCTGTTCCAAATGAATACATCTGGATACAGCTCCCTTTCCAAAAACAGTTATAACTCGCCCTGTGATTAGGAAAAAGTGGGCCCATCTCCTAGGGCTGTTGACAGAAAGATGCTAGAACAGGTTGAGGGAATGGGACAGCTGGAGCTCAGGTACCCAAAAAAAAAAAGATCTTGCGCTTTGTTGTTGTTGTGTGCAGGTAGTATGCGGTGTGGGGCGAGCAGATAAGCCCCTGAAGCACCAGGCCACAGTGCCTCAGACACTTGAGAGTGGCCTCCGGCAATGGGGGCTGAAGGATGAGGCTCAGATTGCAGCCATCCATGCCCAGATCAAGCAGAAGGCTGAGGCAGCCATGAAAGCTTTCATGGATATGGAGGCTGGTCTGACAGCTGAGCAAAGAGGTGGTCGCCGAGCGCAGACCGATGTTATTGGTGAGTTTTGCTTGTTGCTTATTAAAAATGTTGTTCGTAAGATCTTGTGGGATACTGCAGTTGTATTGCACAAATGAGCACAGGGCTATCAGAAAAGCTATACGGTGGCAATATGTATCTCCACTAAGTACAGTGTAGCAGAAAAAGAGAAGGTTTTATGCAGCATTGAAAAAGTGCTTCCATTATAAAGCGAAGTTTGCACAGTGTTCTATATCTATACAAGTTTAATTAGCAACTGCTTGTATGGCCCATGATTCTTGTATGGCTCCCTCTTTAAAGAGCCCATGTGATGTTTACATTGTTTAGTTACTGACTGATTCATATCCTACCCTCTGCCCTCGCAATCACCTTATGAGGCAGGACAGACTGAGAAAGAGTCACTGGCCCAGGATCACCAAGAGGCTTGCTAGCTGGATTTATTTCATCCTGGTGCAGCCTTTCTCCCAACATAAGGATCCAATATGGCTCATAAATAATTAAAAGCATGTGCAACAAAACACAATGTGCATTATAAACCCCTCCTAAAGATCTTAAAAACTAAGGATGCTCATAAGGGCAGAAACAGTGCATCATATAGCATGGACACAAGACACACAGGGCTTTAGATCATAACTAGCACTTTGAATTGGACCTGGAATTAGAGCAGCAGCTACTGATCCTGTTACAGTATAAGATTTAATGTCCCACCACCAACAACTGGTTCTAGCAGTAGTCAACTGTTGGAATTTAGAATGAGCAGAGGTTTCTCTGCACTATTCAATGGTAGACCCATGCAGGAGGCATGTACTGTAATACAAAGGAATGTGTTGCTCTGCTTGATTCAGACATCCTTAGCAGTCAGTACTCTCGTTTCTCTTCAGATCCTATAAATGGTGCACTAGCTTTGGCTATGCAAATACCATCCTGGTCACTGCCAAAAACTTCGTGCCCAAGCCATGAACGTGAGGTTTCAGAGGGAGTGTAACCTCATCCACTATGGGCTGAATCCCTGTCATGTGATGTGCCTTTTGACTGATGAGGAGCACAAATGGATTAAGCTTTGGTTTATTAACCCTCATCCAGTTCACTATTGACATCTTTTTTGACGATTAATGGAAAAGAGAGTGTGGGGGACCGTCATCATGCTGGTAGCACTGAAGCCCCAAACTTTGGACAGTCTCCTGATGGCTATCTTGTGTGTTAAATAGCATTGGGGGGGGGGCGAACAACACCCTAAGGAATTTTGCAGGCCAACAGCTAGGGCAACAGTTAAAGAATCCCCAAGCACCACCTTCTGAGCTTGCCTCTCCATGGCCTGAGCCACTTTAAGACAATGTCTCCAGGAACCATCACAAAGAAATAGCCCAGGAAGATGCCATGGCCAATGATTAGATATGGGCTATTAGTATCCGTATCCCTGGGGATACACATATGAACAGCAGCACCACAGGTGCCAAGGTGGCCCATTCCCTCCCCTCAGAACTGGCCGGTCCACTCACCAGTTGCCTTGTAGCACTGGGGTCCTTTGTTGTTGTCACCACGCCAATCCGGGAAGGAGCCTGGTTGGCACTTCCCCACCTCCCTATGCAGCTCACCAATCATCAGCTAAATGGGGGGACTCTCTGTCCTGACTCTTCGCCAGAGTGGTCGGCTGCGTAGGGAGGTGGGGAAGTGCCAGCCAGGCTCCTTCCAGGTTTGGAGCGATGACGACAACAAAGGATCCCAGCACCGTGCAGTGATCTGTGAGCGGGCTGGCCAGTTCTGGGGTGAGGGAGTGGGCTTCATGGCACCTGTAGTGCCACTATTCGTATTTGTGTCACCAGGGATGCAAATATGAATAGCCCATGTCTACCAATGATATTAAAAGTCACCAAGAAGTTCTGCAGAAAGAACTGGGGCACGTTCTTCGTCCTCTTCATGGCATAGGCCATCCACCAAGGCGTCTGAAGCCGTCTCGCTCCCATATCCAGGCCTGAAGTTGGACTGAAGTACAGTACATCTAGATTATCTGCTTCATTCAGGAACACCTGAGGCTAAGAAACTATCATGTGCTCCAACACCTCACCCAAAAATTAAATATTGAGAGACTGGCTGGAGATTAGCCAGCATGGTGAGATTCAAATTGAAAGGTATTATCATGGGACAAGAAATGGGCCAAAGTTCTATTCATAAAGCCTGCCTCAACAGCAACATCTAAGTCAGATTGGATTCAAGTGATTTTGTCTGCAAAGCACTGTGCTGATTCTTCACAGCAGGCTGTCAAGTGGTCTGTTTCCTGTTCTTGTGGACGAGCACCTAATAGGTCCTTGACTGCTCGAAACAGCTCTGGGTAAGGCATTGGGCTCCCAGCACAATGCTAGCAAAGAAGAACAATTTCCTCACTGCTTGCCACCACCGTGAGGTAGACAGGTCTTTGCAGGTCAGCATGTTCATCCAGGATCAAATTCTGGGTATTTCTTGTCTCACTTTCCACTGACGTGGTATTTGCATGGTTCAATGGATACTGCAACCTGGATCTCCCAAGTCATAATCCACACTTGTCTTCTTTGAATCAGTGGCAAATGAGCATTGCAATTGTGCCCATTTGTTGAAACCTTTTTTTACAGAGCACATGATGGGGTACAGTGGTGCCCCGCATAGCGACGTTAATCCATTCCAGGAAAAACGTCGCTATCCGGAAACATCGCTAAACGGAACGTAAAACCCCATAGGAACGCATTAAACTCTGTTTAGTGCGTTCCTATGGGGGGGAACTCACCGATAAGCGAAGATTCCCCATCCAGCCGTCATTTTCGCCGCCTCGGTAAGCGAGGGCAGGGCGCGAAAACGCTGCGGGCGGTCATTTTCTTGATCTGGCGGCCATTTTGGAACCGCTGATCAGCTGTTTCACTAACATAGCAATGCGAAGATCGGTAAGCGAAATGCTTACCGATCATCGCAATGCGATGTTTAGCCTATTAAAACATCGCAATGCGATCGCATTAGCGATCGCAAAAAACGTGTTACTATGCAGATTCGTCGTTAAATGGTGTGCTCCTTAAACGAGGCACCACTGTATTGTGGTATCTCTGGTGTGGCAATGAAACTATATGAAACTGATAAGGAGACTGGAAATCAGTATGAGATCTGGAAGCTGTCATTATTTTGAAATGAACCACAGATTCAGAGCAGAAACCCTGAAAATTCATGGGAAAAGAATTTCTACCTTTTGTAGGTTTTGTTGAAGCTTACTTCCATGTTCCAGTGGCTAAAACATTTAGACAATATCTGAGAGATTTGCAACCTGCTAGGGCCTATTTCAGTTCTCAAAGGCTTTCTATTTGGGTTGACTAAATCCACGTGAATTTAGACAATAACCTGGCAGATACCCTTTGATTTGTATTCCTGCATTGAGCAGGTTAAACTTGATGGCCTTTTAGGGCCCCTTCCAACTTCATGATTAGAGATGGGGGTATTTGTATACGAATATGAATATCCCCACACAGGTGGCGTTGACGAAGGTCCAGCCCCATGGGGCCGGACGGTCCACTCACTGATCCGCCATGGACAGCACGATTCTACCACTGGCTCCGCAGTGCGTGATCCGCTCGCCACTCCTGGCAGGAAGCGGGAGGACAAGCCTCGCTGCAAGGTTGAAGAGTGGAAAGTGGATTGTGTGCTGCAGAGGCATTCGTAGAATCACGCCATCTGTGTCTTTGGCGGGATTGGTGAGTGGACCATCCAGCCCCATGGGGTCATTCACACCACCTGTGCGGGAATATTTGTATACGGATATGAATTCCCAAGGGACGTGGTGGCGCTGCGGGCTAAACCGCAGAAGCCTGTGCTGCAGGGTCAGAAAACCAGCAGTCGTAAGATCGAATCCACGTGCCGGAGTGAGTGCCCGTTGCTTGTCCCAGCTCCCGCCAACCTAGCGGTTCGAAAGCATGCAAATGCGAGTAGATAAATAGGGACCACTTTGGTGGGAAGGTAACAGCGTTCCGTGTCTTAAGTCGCACTGGCCATGTGACCACGGAAGATTGTCTTCGGACAAAACGCTGGCTCTATGGCTTGGAAATGGGGATGAGCACCGCCCCCTAGAGTCGAACATGAGTGGACAAAAATTGTCAAGGGGAACCTTTACCTTTTCCTTTATGAATACCCCCATCTCTATTCATGATTCTATGACTTCTGGGCCAAGAGTTTTTACCAACCTGATTGTACCTTTGTATTTATCCCTTTACACTGGAGAGGGAACTTGTTCATCTGTTTGCTCTCCAGACTGCTGAATGGCAGGAACTTTGACTTAAGGCTGGGTTTCTGGGAATGAAGGTCTGTGAAACTTTGGCAGGGCTTACTGACTGAAAGCATGCTTGGTTTTTGCTTTCTCCAGGTGTGGATTTTCTCCTGAGCTCAGAGGACCAGGTGTTGCAATTGGTGGCCCTTGAGATGAACTCGCAGCTGTGCCTGGAGACCTGCTCTGTCTTTGAGTCCATGGGCCGGGTGGTGGGGGCACATGTGGGCGAGGTGGCGTGCCCCCTGGTGGAGACGATGCTACGTCGCACACAGTGCCACTTGATGGAGGGCAAACACGTGTTGGTGATTGGGGCCGGCGGAGTCAGCAAAAAGTTCGTCTGGGAGGCAGCCAGGGACTACGGGCTAAAAGTAAGATGCGGAAACCGGATCTTTGCAGCCCCCCACAGGCTGCAGGATGGACTAGTTAGAGCAGCACCCCTCCCACAGCCCCTGTCCATATTGCATAAACTTTATGGGTGCCCTCTATACCCAGAGAGGTGTTGGGCGGGGGGAAGCCAGAGACCACTATCAATCAAAAGGGGCGGCCCATTTCATTTGTGCCAGTGGGAGGATTCCTGGCCCTTTTTTGGCTGTGGCTTTTTCCCAGTCATGTTTCAGAGCTGTCTTTGAGGCCTACGGTCTTGTCAGGATGACTTCATGCAAAGCACTGGCAGCCTCAGTCCAGAAACAGATTCCTATTGGAAGAGTCACTGGGACTGGAAGCAAGTTCTGGCCAGCTCTTGTGGATTTCAGGCATGGCCAGTGCTGCCTCATCTCACATCCTATGCTAGGAAGCAAATATGGGGTACAGAAAGTGTGCTCACAGTGTAGACCCTGGATCCTCGGTTTTCTCAAGAATGAGCCATTGTGTATTGGGGGGGGGAGGAATATCCATATCTGAATTCACTTGCTTCTTTATTTTGACATCATTCCTTTTCCTGAATAGCAGCATGAGACACATCAACAGAATTTTTCCCCATCGACGTTTTTAATATCCTGTACAACTGTTTAAAAGTGCAGGAGCCCTGCCGATGAGAACCTAGGAGCCCGAGTGCGAAGGCAGCGGAGGAAATGCCCAGACAGTTTCTCTGATAAATCCCATTGCCTCCTGCCGGTCCCCAGGCCCTGCCCCACTGAGAGATCTTAATCTCTATAAATTCAGGATATGAGCACAAGTACCTTTCTCTGTGCTGGGATATGTCTGCCATTAGGTGAGATGGAGATATAATGCAATTTCAGCCATAAACCACCTTGGGTTTGTCCGCCTCAAGATGTTATTTCTGGGGCCTGTAGATTTGCCTCAGGCTCCGCCACCAGCTGAGAAATATGACAGGAGGGAGTCTGTCCCGCTCAGTGGAAGTGGCAACGGCTCCCGAGACTAGATGAGAGAAGGAATGTTGGGAGTCGGGTGGGAAGCACCGTGGCAATATTAAGAATTAAACAGGGAAGAAAGAGATAACAGAAAAATCTGCTAGTGTTGAGGCTGGCAGTAGCAGCTGCAACAATTCCTTCCATTGACTTTGAAGGATTTAAGTGCTTCAGTGCCGACTGCCTCAGAGATTAAGGACTGTGTTTTGCTCCTGTTCAGAGTTCCTCCTCCGTCTTACAGCTCATCCCGGTATTGAGCACACTGGCCACAGATGCCACAGTCTAGGCAAACAGCTGCATCTTCACAATGGGATAGTCTGTATGCTTCGTTCAGGCTTCTCTTGGAAAACAGCTTTACTCTGGACTTGCTTTTTAAGGGGGAGGGGAAAAAATCTCTGCTTAATTTGACATTCCCTTGAAGTTGCTGGATGTCTCAGCTAAAAAGCATCAGCAGTGAAACGGTTAAAAGTTATCCCATCCATTCACTCCCTGCTGATGGCTCCCAGAACCCGGTGAGCTGAATGGAGGCACCTCCCTGGCATTAAGCAAACCCAGATAAGGAGAAGATATGGAGAACAGGGGTACGATTCTTCTGTCCACCCTGGTTGCAACGGGTTTTGTCTTCTAAACTCTGTCACTTTTCTCCACCTACTCTGCCAGCCTGGTTCTGGCCACAGAGTCCCATTCTCTCTCCCCCCCTTAATTTTTAAGGACACAGACCTCCAGACTCTAAACACTGTCACTGGAGAGAGATCTTAAGAGAACGTTCAGATGCCATCACCTTCCCCTTAAACCTATGGGTGGGGATGGAGTAGCTGCCCTTCCACTGGAGGGCCCAGTTCAGTTCCAGTTGAGGTGGGGAGCAGCTGCCTGTGGATGATGCCTCCTTCCCAGAGGGCTGCTATGATGTGGTGAGCCTGGTCCCAAGGAGCTGGCCTTCTCTGATAGGGCCATAAGTGACACATCTCTGATTTTTCTCCCACCTTCTCTGCATCTCTGCCCTCCTGTGTCTGCCCTTCCCTCCTTCCCACCCCTGCTTCCTCTCGCTCCCCCTCTCCTTCCCCATCTCTCTCCCTCTTCCTTCCTTCCTTCTTTCCTTCCTTTCTTTTTTTTTCTCATCTTTCCCATCCCCAGATCCACCTGGTGGAGTCCGATCCCAACCACTTTGCCTCCCAGCTGGTGCAGACCTTCATCCATTATGACACCACAGACCACAAGAGGGACGAGGAGCATGCCCAGCAACTGCTGGGGCTGGTGCGGGAGCGGGGCCTGCATCTGGACGGCTGCCTGTCCTACTGGGATGACTGCATGGTCCTGACGGCCCTGGTGTGCGAAGGGTTGGGCCTGCGCTGCAGCTCCCCCACCGCCATGAAGGTGGCCAAGCAGAAGAGCCGCACTCACCTCCATTTGCTGCGGAGGCGCAAGGAGGGGGCTCGCTGGCCCTCAGCAGCGCTGTACGCAGTGCCCTGCTGCCACCTGGAGAGCCACGCAGATGTGGAACGAGCCGCCGGCCACATCAACTTTCCTGGGGTCATGAAGTTAGAGTACGGGGCAGGGGCTGTGGGGGTCAAGTTGGTGGAGGATGCCCAGCAGTGCCACCTGCACTTTGACAAGATCTCCAGGGATCTGCAAGATGACTCGGACCATCCAGGCATCGGGCTTGGCTGGGGCAATGCTATGCTCCTGATGGAGTACGTCTCTGGCACGGAGCATGATGTAGATCTGGTGATCTATGAAGGGCGGATGCTGGGGGCTTTCGTCTCTGATAATGGGCCCACCCGAGTGCCCAACTTCACTGAGACAGCAGCCTGCATGCCCACTTGTCTGCCCCCTGACCGCGAGGCGCAGCTCATCCATGCTGCCTACCAGTGTTGCTTAGGCTGCGGCCTCACTGATGGTGTCTTCAATGTGGAGCTGAAGATGACGGTGGCTGGCCCCAAGCTGATTGAAATCAACCCCCGCATGGGTGGCTTCTACCTCCGCGACTGGATTCAGGAGATCTACGGCGTAGACATCATGCTGGCCTCTGCCATGATTGCCTGTGGGGTGGCACCCCTCTTGCGGGCCCGCTCTCGTCCCCGCATGCACCTGGTGGGAGTGATGTGCTTGGTCTCCCAGCACCTGCAGGTCCTCAAGTCCACTGCCAGCCTGGAGACACTCCAGGCCCTGCACGAGCGGGGCGTCATCCGCCTCAACCTGCTTGATGATGAGCTGGTGTCTAGCGAGTATGAGGAGCCCTATTGCCATGTGGCTTGTGCCAGCTCTAGTCGCCACGAGGCGTGCCTCAAGCTTCTAGGCATCTGCCAGGTTCTGGGCATCGACTCCGCACACTATCCCGTTGCCCACTTTCTCTCTCACTTTAAATAGCCTTGGAGATCATGGTTCCCTCAATCTGGAATTGATCTTGCACCTGCTCCAGAGAGGGAGCCTTGTCTGTCCCTCTCCTACATTGCCCTTTCCTTACTTACTTACTCCCTCACTTACAACTGGGGTTTGTACTGCACAAACACCCTGTTTCCTACAGTCTTGTCAAGTGGCTGCTGTCTCCCTCAGGAAAGGAGTGTGGCATCATCTGGTGCCATCTCTGGTAAGTGCCACGCCCACACCCCTCACACTCTCAAAGGGGCTGACCCTGCTTTTGTTGGGAGGAGATGCAAATAATTGCAGTGTCCCACCATTCCTCTATTGTCACAGTGAAGAAATTGTCTCCTTTCCCTTTATTTGCAGTTCTTGTTAAATGTCTCACATCTTTGTTCCTGGCTTTCTCCTCCCCAAAGCCTTTTACAGAGGCAAGTCCCAGCCTCTTCATCTTCTCTTTCTTCCACTGAGGAAAGGCTGTTGCTTTCCAGCCAGATGAGCCCTAGAGAGAACCTTCCTAACACTTCAAAAAATCAGTGGAAAAGAGGGCTTGGGGTCAAATATTTTCCAGTCTCTCATCAGGCAGTGATCATTTGAGTAAATCGGCATGTGCTGATCTTGAGCACAAGCTCTTTCCTGGATCCAATCTTGCAGATTCCACCAATTTACAGGCTATGCCCTAAAAAATGTCTTGGCCAGCCTACTGTAACAAAAGGGCCACATGCAAGCCTAGAATAACTGACATTTTACAGAGCAGCAGAACATGAAGACATTTAGCAAGCTAGTTCTGCTGCCTCAGCATTTGCCAACCCCACAATTAACATCCTAGTGCCTCATGATCTTTTTAGAAGCTAATGAGTACACACAAGGCTGTATTTATTGGGTAATCATAGAAATAATGCAGGGTACAGTAATAGAAATTCAGTGGTAATGCCTAGCATGCATTTCCAGGCAGGAGGGAACTCGCCATCTGCTCATGAGACAACCTGCTGTAACTATCTCCCCATCTCTGTAATACCCTAAAAGATACGATAGTAGAGCAGCACTGTGACAGCTCTTCCAAGCACAATAACCCATTGGTACACAAAACTCTTGCAAAAGACTGCAGCGCCTGCACTGCTGACAACGTAAAATAACAAGCCTTCCAAGGGAATCCCTGTGCCCTTGAAGACCCTACACAACTAAGTAATTGTAGTGCCAGCATTCCTGAGTGTTTTTGCAATAAGCCACAGCCTTGCTACCCCTTTGAATTATGAAGAAGTAGCAATGCTTCATCCATTAATCTAACTGTTCTCCAATCGGTAATGTTACCTAGCACCAGCATCTTCAAAAACACCTATAACCAGCATAAAGAGAAAGAAGTAAAAAACAAATAGAGCTCTGATTGGCACAGTGGAAGAGTCTCTCGTCTTTGTCATAGTTCACTGACTTGCTGCTGCTTTCGTAACAAAAGGCAGAGAAGCGGCAGGAGGAGGAGGCAACTAAAGGACCATAGGGTGCAAAATGACTGCTGCCAGGAAAGGGGGGTGGTGGTGGCAGGGATTGGGAGCTTCAGAGGTCCCACCACTGAGTGACTAACAGCAGGGCCGTTAGTTGGATGTGGCCTCTTAAACAGACTCACGCCCCTGCCTAGCTTCCTGTCTAGTCCTCCACTGCCGCTTCTGTAATCAGGCAGGCATAGTAGTTCCTCCCCCAATAAAATGCCATGTAAAAATATCCTGACTGCAGAGGTGTTATTTGCACCTGCTCCACAGCTCAGCTTCCATTCAGAATGGCTGAAAGAAAATGGATGTTGAAGATGTGCTGAGAGGCAAATGGATTTGAGATGACTTCGCTGGGTGGAGGAGACCCTTTCCAATGCCTGTGGATCGGTTTGCTTCAGAAGGGCTTCCAGGTGCCTCTGTGGATAGCTGTTCCTAAAGGGGAAAGGGAATTTGCATTCCAGAGTTTGGCTCTACACCATCTTACAGGAAGAAAAAAATACTGTGCTTCCTTACTCATACCAGAACACTGCTTCAACTGTATATTGCCTTGGGCACTGGCTTTTACAGGGTACTGCATTCTCTTCTATTGGGGGTTATTGAAGCAGTTGGACTGGAATTTGTCCATCACCCCCTCCCTCCTTTCCAAAGGGAAAGTAAAAAGGCCTTTGTCTTAAGTTAACAAAATAACTTGCTCTGCATCATGAAAGCTAAGGTAGGAGTAGTTGTGCTTTCCAGACGCTGACCTCGGTTCTGCTGTTACCTGTCCTTCACCAGCATAGTAACCAAGTCATCAGAAGAACCAGTCTTCTCTGGATGAAGCTTGACAGTTTTCGGGTCCTGCTACCAGAACCAAGGCTTCCTTCACTGGACCCATGCCAAACATCTGTCTTCTTACTACAAAACGATCATTTGTACTGAGACCAGAGTGGCCATGAATTCCAAAAATGTTCTATGAAGAACACCAGGTTGTGTGAGTTGAATGATGGAGAAAACAAGGCAAACTTCCTTAATTTGCATGAACTTCCATTCATGAAGCAAGTCCATGTTTTCCCTGAATTTGCAACACTTTGGCCACGATGAGGGTTGCTAGGTAATGTGAGAAGAGTGCTTGGGCAGGGGGCTTTGAGGAGAGTAAAGGAAAGAAGTCCAAAAGCAGAAAAGGAACTGTTGCCAGGAAGAATGAATTGGGGGGGGGGGAGAGTAACTGCCAAGCTAATTCTCTTCATTGTGGAAGATGCATGATCCCGTCCCATTAACATCTTATAGTTTTTAACCACTTCCTTTATGGATCCTAAGATATCTCAGAATTCATTGCATCCTGGATATTGAGATCCAGTCCATACATTGCCTCTCCTCAACATGAGTAGCAGACTCACAGCTGTTTGTCCAGACAGAAAGTATGTTTGCAGTCTAGTTCTAGCATAATATTTGTGTGCCATCAAGTCAGTTCTATTTTATGATGACCCTTTTCAGAATTTTCCTGGTAGAGAGTACTCAGAAGTGGTTTACCATTCCCTTCTTGGGGTGCTCTGGGACTTTGCAGCTTGCTCAAGGCCATACAGGCTGGCTCTACTTACGGGAGGCACAGTGAGGAATCAAACTGGCAGGCTCTTGCTCTTCAGCCAGATACCTAGCTAACATTACTAGCCCCATACTGCACAACAGGGATAGAGAATTTTGGGCTAATAGATGTCCAAGCTTTCCCACCACCTCCTACCAACCAACCACTCAGCCAACCACTTCTAGGAGAAGGCTGAGTTCAAAGATTAGACTTTGCCTCTCCTTTATTGGAAAGAGTAATCCTGGCAAAAATATATGCTGGAGAAGTCCCTGCCCACTAAAATGATAATACAGAGCATGTCTTGTAATATCATTCAACCTGCAAAGAGCTAGAGAGATTCAATCCTAACCCTCCCCCCACCAGGGTTTCCCACTCCTGAATAGGATTTTAACTACAATCTATGGATATGATGCTATAGAAGACAACAGCTAATTAAATTCATTTTATTACATTCTATCCTATCTTGCCACTTAAAATACACTCAAGGCAACTAATGTGATAAAAAATTGGGCAATAAAGTCCATTCAAACTACTACTCGGTAAACATCTAAACAATTTAAAGACATGTGGTTTCCCACTCTAGAAGCAGCAAGACTAAGAATCTGCATTTAGCATGGAGACAGATTAATGAATGAGTACATGTTTGGGGTACTTTTCAGTTCACTATCCCTTCATTAATAATGAGTAAGTTAGTTACACAAGTGCTGTCAAGTCAGAATCAACTTAACAGTGGCTCTAATAGGGCTTTCAAGGTAAGTAAGATCTTTATTAAGTGGTGGTTTTACCAGTTCCACTCCTCCAATTAGTGCTCATGGCTTAGTGGGGATTTGAATTCACGTCTTCTCACCCTAGTTTGTCACTTATCCACTGCACCCTACTGGGTACCTAACAGCGAGTAAAGCAAAATATAAATATATAGATATAGCAAAGGAAATCTGGATTTCTCATAGAAATTGAGCCCAAAGCTGCCCAGTGTCAGATCACAATGTAGCAGTTGTGACTAATGCCATTGAGTAATTACTTTTCCTGGAGGAAAAGCAATGAATGGCCAGTGTCCATTTTTTAAAAATAAGGCACCCTGCCAACAGTTCCTGTTATCACAGATGTGTTTTTCCACAGATGTAGTCTACACTGGCAATTTAAAAGGCCAGTGCCAGCCCTCAGGCAGGATTTAACTTTGGGCTCTTCTAGTTACTGACCCCTGTTCGAAAGTCATTTGGTAGTAAAAGACCTCATGTAATAATAAATAAAGCTCATTTGCAACCACCAGCATGTTTAGAACTGGAGAAAATATCTACAAAATATCAGAGCCAAAAGCAATGGAAAGTATCCTGTTGAGTAAACACAGAGTGTAAGATGTAGGTGCAATGCCCTGTGCAGCCTGCATTTTGCACTGCTGTGAGCCAGCAATAAGGTAAGTGCCTTGAACTGAATTTGGGAACAAAAAAGTAGCCGCAGTGGCTTGATGTTCCTAGGATGTGCTCATTCCTCTCGGTGATTGCCAAGAAGTCAGCAGCAGCATCTTACTTCAGATCCCAAGGTACAGTATCTTCCAAGGGCATGTCCAAAGATCACATTATATTACAGAAGCTGTAAAAGTTTTGCTGAATTATAGAGGTCCCTCCTAAAAGTGTCAGAGCCTCTATAGTGGATGCAGCAAGCAACATGCTACTAATAGACATAACTACTGCCTGCTCATCCAGTAGTGAAGTCCAGAGTAAGTAAGACAACAGACTTGTTCACATCACAGGTACATGGAACATTCCAAGGATGGAGATTCCCCACCAGCTTCACCTCCATCTTACCTGCATTCACCCTTATCTTTAACCACTGAAATAAGGGTCTCCAGACACTGATTTATGACCTAGTCAATCACACCTGTGTTTTAGGGATTATACATGTGTCTATTACAAACACATTTATACCCCTCCACAACTCTCCATTATTTCATGTATATTTTAAACAATACTGGTGTCATGAGGAAGACCACAAATTGATTCCCATAGAGTTCATCAGCATCACCAGTTACAGTCCTTGGAGTGCAAGCAAATAACTTCCAAAGCATTCCAACTAATGCACCGGTTTAAAAAGAATAGTACCATCCATAGCTCCTAAAGGTGCTCCAAAATTCAGTGAGATTGTCAAGAAATACAGACCTTCAGACAAAGAGCCCATGAGAGTTGCCAAATGAACAGTGTTGACACGTTTCATCCAAAAATACATGATTTGGATGAAAGGAGAATGGGGAAATGTGAGAACTTACAGTTTTCATATATCTAAAAATGTGTCATTAAAATCTTGGACAGGAATGGCTTATAAGGGACCCTGAAGATAGGACAAGAAGCAATACATGAGCAATTTAGATGTAATTATTTGTAGAAATTGGAACAAGTTGCCCAAGGAAGTTGTGAAAGTTCTATTTCTAGAAATACTTAGACAAGCATTAAAAGCCTGTCAGCTATGATTAGGATCTTGGGAGTCTTATTTGTATTTTCTCCCGTTATTCTATTTTCAATCTGTGACTGTGTGTTTTCATTGTACTGTATATTTCACTGCAGACTAGGAGTGCAATTACACAGCGGGGAAAATACAGTTTGATCCACTGTGATTCACACCTGTGGAAATTGGGTTTCCATGGGTGAAATCATTGTAGCTAGATAACCATTTGGCAGAGTCAGCAGAGGCAGAGAGCTTAGATTTATCCAGAGCAAGAAACTGCATTAAGGTGCTAAAAAGTGCTAATTGGCAACCTCCACCTTTCTCTCATTCTACGAAGTGCCCTAGCAATAGTGCTAGGTTGAAACTTTTTTTAAAAAGAGATGGCTTGGAGACAAATGGGACTTGGTTGGGGGGAACTGACACCTCTGTGAGCACCTCTTTGCATCAGGTCAGGCAAGTCCACTGGGCAAAAAGAAGACAAAAGCATTACTGTGACTGGAACAAATTTAGAAATGTGCACTAGCATCTATTTGTATTTGGAATTAAAAATTACAGATCTTTGGATTCAGAATCCAATTCAGAATTTCCAAATATCCAGGACTCTGTTATAATCAATAATATGAATACTATGTAGTCATTATTTTCCCCTTTAAAAACCACATACACAGTCAAACCTTTTTAAAGGGTTTCCCTGTGTCCTCTGACATCTTCCCAGTGATTGTGCCAAACAAAAAGAATGCACACCCATCAGCCAGTTTTCTACACACGTCTCAAGCTTTAAATAGTAAACCAGAAGAGGCTAGGATTACAGAAGCTGTAAAAGTTTTGCTGAATTATAGAGGTCCCTCCTAAAAGTGTCAGAGCCTCTATAGTGGATGCAGCAAGCAACATGCTACTAATAGACATAACTACTGAAGTGAAGTAGAAAGAACAAAGAAATAATCAAGTAAAATGGGGCTACTTGGATACAGGACAGATCTTCTGTGACTGTGGAGAAATGCAATCAAAGCTGCACTTATATGCATGTGTTCAAAAAAGATCTAGTAAATAGCCAACCTATAGAAGTAACCCAATTCTGGTCAAAAATAGTTAATTTGATTTTAATTTTACCTATACTGTATTTCATACATGTCCAGAATTTTAAACAGTACAAAACTCTGATACAAGTAAAGAAGACCAACAGCCAGCAGTGCCTAGTTATTAGGAAAAATCAGGAAAAAGCCACATAATCA